CGGGCAGCCTCGGGTGCTCCCAGGAATGCAGCAGGTCCGGTCCTCGCCTCCAGCCCTGCCAGCTCAGCATTGCTCTGAGATAAGCTTGCCAGCTGATAGAGAAGGGAATAAAAATGAGCAATCCTGGCAGGGGAGAGGAGCACGTGGAGAGGGACGGAAGGCGAGCTTCGGGCCGGAGCAGGCGGCCGATTCCATCAGCCCTTCAGGGTTGTAACAGCAGCCAGGGGATCCTGAGACGGGGCTGCAGACCTCCCGGGCACTTAAGGAAGGTTGATCATGAAATGTTTTATAGCTTACGAGGCGCTCGTAAGGCTGCCAGGACTCAGATAATGGGGGATTTTAATTACTTGGATATTGATGGACATAATAAGTGTGCAGCAAACCACAAAGGGAAACCTGTGGCTGGAGGGGAGAGCGAGATTGATCTATGCACAGCATGCTAAATAACCTAAATCGTTCAGAGCCTCTTCTGGCCCTGCTTCCAGGAGCAGAGCCAAGTATGATAAATAAGGTTGGGGTTGGGAAGTGTCTAGAATCCAAATGTTTTTATTATTGTTCAATTTCAAATCCTCGTGGGGACAAAAGTGGTAGCAGGAGTCGCAGCAAAGTGCTTGGCTGTGTCTGCCCAGGGGCTGGGAGATGCCCTGGGGAGAGCGGCTGGCAGCAGCCCGGCCGCTGGAAAGCGGCTGCCGGTGCCCAGAGGCATTTCGGGGACTTTTGAACACATTTGCCGCAGTGGAAGGTGACCGGGGTGGGACCCTGGCAAGGTGAGGAGGGAACCAGAGGCCAAAGCGATGGAGGAGAAGGACAGAGTCTGAGCAAGCACTGTGGCTGGGATAGTGGCCACCAGACTGGGCACAGCACAGGGATTGTAGGGGAGCCCGTGGGCAGGGATGGCCACCATGCTGCGGGCAGGTCCCGGGGCTGACTGGGGCTCTCACAAGTCTTGGTGGCATCAAAGGTGTGCCCAGGGGACGTCTCCTCCCGCCACCTCGGGTGCACAGCGGGCTTCCTTCCCCATCACCCAGGTCTGACCATCAGCCGTCATGGGGCAAACCGCTGCTTAAGAAAAGGGGGGAGTGAGGAGCCAGGAGGAAGGTGGGCACCCCCAGGAATGGGGCTGGGAATGCCGTGCCAGGGCTGCAGGGCAGCTCCCGAGCTGCGGATTCGCAATGGAAATGTGCGCACCAGCGCTGCAGGGGCAGGGACCCCTTTGCAGTGGTAAGTTTTCTGTGTGGGTGGTGCTAATTTGGGCTTGCAGCCGCTGCTCCGGTTGTGGCCGAGCGCTGCAACGTCCCTCTTGGCTTTGCATCAGCTCCCTGGCAGGCATCTGGCCTGGCTGACCCGGTGGATGCTGCGGCTTTGGGGAGGTCGTGCAAAATCCCGTCCTTGCCCACGTGGAACCTGGCGGACAGAGCCATCCCAGCCCAGCTGTGGAGCTCTGGGACGCTCTGATGGGGGCGTGTCTGTCTGTCTGTCTGCTCTTTTGTTGTTTTCCCCTTGCTGGAAAAATATTCACTTGATTAAAGAGCTGCAGAAATGGGCTTTACCCTGCTGGTCCCACCGCATGCAGCGCAGGCAGCGTGGGTGTCCTGCGGGCTCAGGTTGTCCCTGCTGGGTCTGAGCAGTGACGGTGGCACCGCTCGCTCCCTGGGTTTCCTTTGCTCTTCGTGCTGCTCTCGGAGGCAGAAGGGCAGCGCCGCCCCGCGAGGGCTGGCTGCTGGCTGGGGAAAGGCTGTGGGCTCAAAATGGGGCGCAGTGGACCTGAGCAGCAGAGACCGAACATTGCTGCGACACCTGTGGCTCTGTAAAGGCGATGGAGAGCTTGTCCTGCGCAGCCTGGGCTCCCCCAGCGCCTGCCAAACCAAACCCTTCAGGGCAGAGCGGGACCCTGGGTCTGCAGCCCCGTCTGCTGGGTGGCTGCGCGCAGTCCATGGCAGCGCCGTCCCTGGAGGCGGCACGCAAAATCAATCCCAAGCGCCGCCTGGTTCTCAAACCTATTGTGGCATTTTTAAGGCGTAGGCGTAAATTATTTAAAATGCGATGCGCTGCCAGTCATAACGCACCTGAGGCCTCAGATGTCTGCGCCTTGTGAGCCATGTTAGACAGCAGCGGTTTGGAAACAGAGAGGAATCAAAGCTCTCCCGAGGCTGCTGTCCCAGCCTGCCAGGAGGGACGCCGGGGAGGGTTTGTGCATCATCGCTGCCTGGGTGCTGCGAGAGCGGCGGGATCCTCCCTGGAGCCGACTTTAAAGGAGCTGAAGCTGGGTAACACGTGTGCTGCCGCTGGCCGCCTCTCGCAAGGCACGGGGCACAGCGAGCGCGAATGCGTGAGCCCTTGCTGCGCGGTTTGCTGACCTGGGAGCGCCATGGGCTGACTCTGTTTCTGTGCAGTTTTTTGGCACCTTCCTCATCCCCCAGAAGCCGTGGGATGAAGGTGAGCGTGCCCACTGGTGCGGGGTACCCCCTTGGCTCCCCAGCGCCCTCCGGCATCGCTCCCCTGGTTCCCCTTTCCTCTTCCAAGGCGGCACAGCTCTTCCCTCCTTCCTCCTGAGCTGGAGCGTTGCTGTGGTTCTGCTGGTCCGGGGCAGGGCCCTGGGGCTTGGCGAGGATTTGCAGCAGGAGCAAAATCCGTGCCCCCCCCCGCTCCCAGCCAGTCCTGATTCTATTTTCATTTAGCCAGAGCGATTTCCTCCCCCCGCCCCCCCAAGTTTGCTGTTTCCCTGAAATGGTCTGAAATGTAATAGCCCAAGACAATCATCAGAATGAAGTATTTCCTACATAAACCAGGCAGCAGCTAGTCAGAAATGAAGATCGAGTGCAGCGAAGGCTGCCAGGCAAAGATTTAAAGGTGCCGACACCTTCCCAATAGGTTGTTTACCAAAGGTATCGTCTCCTAAGCCCCAGCTTCAAGACTGTCTTTCAAAAGAGGGCACGAAATAAAATTTAGCAAGGAGCTTTAATCATTCGAGCTGCTGTGTGCTGAGCTTTTTCTTGCCCTTATGGGAACAAAGCCTCATTTCGGAGGACCTTGACTCTGCTGATAGTGCAGGAGAAGTGGCACTGCCAGAGCTATTTTTGCGCCGAGACACTGATTGGGTGTGAAACCTGTCCCTGGCGGCCGTGCCAGCAAAGCCTGGGCAGGCGAAGCATGGCGGCATATGGCCCCATTTCCCTAAAGAGGGGTTCTGGGAGTGCGCTTACTGTAAAAGGGCTTTTTGGGCACCTGAAAAAGCTTTAGCGTTGCTCCCAGTGCAAAGCTCTGCCCACCAGTCCCAGCAGGGTGGGTTCGGGGGGGGGGGACGGACACCCAGTCCTGCAGCCTGAGGCCAGGGAGTGATGGGTGGGCGCTGTGGGGGGCTGCAGGGCCGTTTGCTGGCCTTGCTTCATCTGCTGCCGTGCCTGTGTCATGGGAGCCCGTGCGTCAGGTCCTGGGCTGAACCCGGCAGCGGTGTCGCTCCGCTGCAGATGCCTGCTGAGGACCACGGGTTTGTCTTGGGCGTTGGTCCCTTTCTGGCCCCTTGAGGAAACCACATGTGCCCGCAACCCCTGCCACAGCACGATGCTGCTCGTGGAGATTTAAGAAAGTGGCCCCCACGTGTGCCCAAATGTTGCAGCTTTGCCCCCGTGGCATCCTGAGCTCTTAATGAGTCGGGAGCTGCAAGGAAGGTGGCAATGGCAAGTGAAACCTTCAGCCCCGACGCAGCATCGCCAAGCACGCAGCAGCCTCCGCGACACCCTGTGCCCCCCCACCCACTCTGCTCCCTTCTCTCGCCCCTCTCGGCTGGGTTTGGGTGACTTCAGCATCATTCTGGTCACCAGAGAGCTGGCATCTGTTAGCAGGCTTCCCTCGGGAGTAATCGTGGTCCCGCTGCAGCCGCACCGGCCACGTGAGATCTCCGCCTGTGGCGTGAGCAGTTCAGCGGCCGAGGCCGTCGGTCGTGTACGGGAAGGAGTAATTGGGAAACGCCGGGCCAGCAAGCGTCCGACTCTTAGACCGGACTCCTTCCCAGCCCAAGGGTCAGGCTCAGGCGGAGCGGGTTGGCGAGCATCACTGCCCTGAGCCCGCTGGGGGGGTTTGGGACCCCCGGGGGCCCGACAGCCCGGGGCTGGGTGCTGTGGGGGAGAGGGGCCGGGCCGGGTGCCATGGCTGGGAGGGCCAGCACTCCCAAATCCGCACCCGTGTCGGGTTTTGGCTGCCACCCTCCCCAGCG